GTATGTCGTCAAAAATCATTAAAAAACGTCATAGTATAGTATGTCGTCAAAAATCATTAAAAAACATCATAGTATAGTATGTCATCATAAATCATTAAAAAACATCATAGTATAGTATGTCGTCAAAAATCATTAAAAAACATCATAGTATAGTATGTCATCATAAATCATTAAAAAACATCATAGTATAGTATGTCGTCAAAAATCATAAAAAACCGTCATAGTATAGTATGTCGTCAAAAATCATTAAAAACCATCATAGTATAGTATGTCGTCAAAAATCATTAAAAACCGTCATAGTATAGTATGTCGTCAAAAATCATTAAAAAACATCATAGTATAGTATGTCGTCAAAAATCATTAAAAAACGTCACAGTATAGTATGTCGTCAAAAATCATTAAAAAACATCATATGTTTTTCCATGATTTTGGACGACATACTATACTATGATGAAAATACTATGATGCCACACGGTGGTGCAGTCTTAAGCATTGTCACCTCACAGCAAGAGGGTTTCCTGGTTTGAATCTGGGGTGAGGAGCCCCTCTGTATGGAGTTTCCATGTTCTCCCTGTGTCAGCGCGGGTTTCCTCCAGGTGCTCCAGCTTCCTCCCACAGTCCAAAGACATGCAGGTTAATTCGTGACTCTAAATTGTCCGTAGGTGTATAATAATAATATCCACACATGTATCAGCAAATACACAAAAACAGTCAAAGGCCACGATTCATAAAACAAGGTGAGAATGGCACAACAATCATCTTCATCTGAAACTGTCACAGTCAGACTCTTGCTTGGCTCCTTCTCAAACATACACCTCAGTCTTTACTGCACAGTGTTCATTATCACCATCGACAGGATTAAAGATCCTTCAGCCTCGTACTGGGAGCATCTGACTCCTGCTCAGCAAATATAAAGAAGTGAAGCAGGGCAGCGGGTAAACAAGTTAAATACAAAAATAACATTCAATTTAATTTTACACAACTCTGCAGTTATAAAATATTCAAACTCAAGCGATAAAATATTTACAGTAATAATATATTCAGTCACATCTCATGTGGAGCTGAGGACCTTTTAAAGGACAAATATCAGTGCACTCATCCAAACAAAGTGCAACATTCACATTTAAAATTCCTGTTTTGATGACAAATCAAATGTCATAATGATTTCTCAATAACCTGCATATTCTCATCTAAATCACATTTATATCAACACACACGTTTTAAATCTATGAAAGTCACTAGTATGTAAAACATGAGTTCATGTTTGTGGTCATGATCCAACTTGTTGCTCTGACAGCTGCTCCACATGAGTTTTAAAACTTGACCTTTGACCTTTTGGATATAAAATGTCATCACTTCATTATTTTTATCCTTTTAGTAATTTGTGTGACACTTTGCCATAATTAGCGTATATATTCTTGAGTTATGGCCAAAAACATGACTTGAGAGGTCACACTGACCTTTGACCATCAAAATCTAATCATCTCATTATGGAGTCCAAGTGAACGTGCAAGATCACATTGACCTTTGAACCTGTGACTGCCAAAATCCAATCAATTTTGTGCCAAATTTAAAGAAATCCCCTCAAGGTGTTCTTGAGGTATGGTGTTCACGTTCACAGGAATGGATGAATGGAAGAACGAGGGCCTAACAAAGACGGTGGCCCTTTCATTAAAGCAACATTTATTAACGACCTCTGACACAGGCTGCATACTCAGCGTGATGACGTTTAACCAAAGGATTCTTTTCTTATTGTTTGAGGTGTTTTTATCGGACATGACAAGGTTTACAAACCTCAGATTGTCTGGATAAAGATGTAGCAGTTATTAATTTAATGTCTGATGACATCACGGAGGTCCATTTAAGAACAGCTGCTACAGATCTGAGATCAGCTCATTACATCTGAACCACAGACTGTTACAGAACCAAACATCAAACATCTAGAGGGCTGGTGCAGAGACAACAACCTGGTGCTCAATGTGACTTCAGGAGGTCGCAGCCTGAGCACACACCTTTCTGCATCAGCGGCTCCACAGTGGAGATGGTGGACAACATCAGGTTCCTGGGAGTGTGGAGGGGATCACTGGAGTGTCACTACGCTCTGTCCAGGAACTTTGTCAGAGCCGATGCAGGAACAGAGCTCTGAGCATCATCAGGGATCCTTCACACCCTCTCAACAGGCAAACGCTACAGCAGCATCACATCTAGGACCAGTTGACTGCTTAACAGCTTCCTGCCACAGGCTGCTGGGATGCTAAACAGTTTAACTGGACTCCATGCACCCTATATACTCATGCTCACACTGCAGAGCTCTGCACATGGTCACTGTAAATACCAACTGTCACTTTTTCTGAAAATGGTCACTGCTCATGTGTGATGTGTCATACTGGACATCTAGTTTGTGATTTATTGCTGGATAGTTAGGGTTTTATTGTATTTTATTGATGTCTATTTTACGGTATTAGTATTTATTAATTTAGTGTTGAAAATACCCCCCATTTACCTGCATTACTATTGTATGTTTGGTGAGATGGGCAGTATCATATTACTGTATAACAGGATATTTAAAAGTCCTGAAGGGAAGACTTACAGTATGTTGACCATCACAGGTCCAACTACTGAGATGCAGTGTAAAGGCGATGTAGTGCACTGCACACACCACCAGAGGTCAGTCTCTCAAGCAGGACACATATTTCCTGTCTATTTATTATTTTATGGGACATAAATATTTAAATCCAACAAGACTAATCTACAGAATAGTTTAATAATATAACAGTAATATCAGACTAATTGCCTATTAGAAACACAGTGTTGAGGGTCAGACGGTGACGGACGTGTGACAATCACTTTTATCACCAGCTCAGCTTTTACAATATTTTTAATACCACCATCATGTGCAGTGTATCTCAGTGAAATGTGAGAAAGATACTAAATAAAAGATACCGCCCAAGCCTAGAGACGATATCTCTATTAAAAGACGAGACATTTAAATGTGTCTATAGACTTTATTATCTACCATCTTAAAAACACATCTGATGATGAGATGAGTCTTAAAAAGAGCGTCCCAAAAGTCATCCTAAATATCTGAAACTTAAAGAGTTATAAAACAACTCTAACGATCAACGTGGATGATTCATCAGAAAACTGTCGAGCAGCCAAAAAACATGCTGTAGTGTCACAGGTATGTTTGTGTGTGTTTGTTTCTTTTGCAAACATTTGAACACAGAAACATCCAAAACAGTCTCAACACACAGTTTGACATTTTTCATGTTTTATTTAATCGTTTGGATATAAACAATGAAGCAGTGCCTGAAATTACATGATACCTGCAGGAACATCATCAGCTGACATAAATATGTTTTCAATGCACATTTCGTATATGACAGTCAACAACAGTGTACCTAATAAAGTGGACACTGAGTGTATAGTTCAGTGTGTAACTGTAGCTGACAAACTCTGGCTTAGCAACTAAAAAAATAAAAAGAAGCAGTACATGTTTGTCCCAATGATCAATATCAAAATAAACAATAAGTCCCATTATATTTCACTTTAGCTCCAAAATATTCACATTTCTTTGACAGCGTGACAGCAGGCTTTAGTTCAGTCAAGTCTCATGTTTCTGTTAATGTCCATGTGGAGCTCAGTTAGGACCTTTAACAACTACAAGCAGCAGGATCATATTTGGTCAATGGACTACATTTATATAGCACTTTATATCTTCCTCATTCATCCATTCACTCACTCACTCATTCACACACTGATGTCAGCCAGCTACCATGCAAGCTGCTGTCTGACCATCAGGAGCAATTTGGGCTTCAGTGTTTTGCTCAAGGACACTTGGACATGTGGACAGGAGGAGCCGGGGATCGAACCACCGACCCTGTGATTAACTGACCACCTGCTAGCAGGTATTTCAACACTTTGTCTGGGAATTAAAAAGTGACTGTGGAGGAGCCATCTTGTTTCCTTCAGCTGAGGATCATCAGTAACATTTAGTTGTTTTTAACAACCACAGATTTTTAAGAAGAATTAAATGATTTTATTGAACTAATTAAATGAGAACACAAACAGAAACGTCCATTCTTCATTAGCTGCCTGTCAATTTTATAATTTAAGATTCTGTTCATGATGTTTTGGTCACTTCATGGTCAAATTACAAGTTACACTACAGATACTTTAATCTCTTATTAAACATCTTCAGTCAGGAGTCTCCTCATTATTTTAAGTCACCTGATTATCCAGAGTTACAGACTTTTATGGTCCGAGTCCCTCAGCTTTAAACACTTATATAAAACTATCAGAAAACTTGCTCCTCCTTTTATCAGGTCCCTTTTTAACTTGGTCCATTTTAATTCTGTTTCATCGCTTGTTCTATTCTCCTGCTTTACTGTCTCATTTATCACATGTTCATCAGTTTCTATGGAGCTGCATCTTATTCATCAGGTACTACAGTATAATGTCCTCAACAACACTTTGACTTCACACTGTGCTGCCTGGAATTAAATTATTCTACATTGACAACAGTGTGAGAGTAAAAGTTAGACACATAAAATGTATGAATGTAAAAATAAAAGAATAAATCCACATAGAGGAAAGAGCAAGAAGCTGTTATTGAAGCTGCACAGGAGTCAGTCTCAGGTCCTGTTTACACCTGGTATTAACATGCATCCTGGGTGGTTGGATCACAAGTGGACAGCTGTAAGTACAGGTGTGAATGCATCCAACGTGTCCTCAATGAGATCTGATCACTCAGACCACATTAGGAGGTAGTCTGAAACGCATATGGCCACATTCTGTCAGCAGTGTACAAAAGTGTCCTGGGCAGTACTGAAGGACCGCCTACTCAGCTGACGCCCGACCTTTTCTGACGCCCGTCCTTCTGTTGCTGCAGACAGAGCGCTGAAGGACAGTTACCTGAGCAGCTCTCCTCCCAGCGAACAGTCAGTTCAACGTCTGCCTGGTTAGCACGAGCTAACACAGCAGCTGCCATTACATGAATCATTCTAATGCCACGGAGCAGACACAGTTAGAGCTGTCCACCTGTGATTGGATCACCTAAGACGCATGTTAAAATGAAGTGTAAACAACCCCTTAATCATACAAAATATCATAATTCAACTCAAACTATTCATTTATCATTTAATAGAATGATTGATTATTGATCAGTTTTTTCAGCACTAAAGGAAACTTCCTCTCTTCTGTCATCACCTTGTTAACTCCAATCTGTTTGTATGTGACATTTGTTTTGGGGCTGATATGTTGTTATCTCACTATCAATTAGTTAGTAGATGCCTCTCCACAACCCTGATATGAACATTTCTTTTGATCTGCTGGTGAACCTGCAGGAAGGAAAACAACAACAGGTATATTAAAGAAGATCCAGACTGACTTGATCCTACCCTGAGTGTAAATACCAACAGAATGATTCATGTCTGAGAAGATAAAACAACTGTCAAGACTCTAAACATGAGATACATACAAAGAATCTGTTGTGTTGTCTGCTCATCATCAACACGTGGATACTGTAAATTATTTTAACTTACCTTTATTACAGTTTGGTGTGAAGCAACCCTTGTATACAAGCACAGCAAGACCAACAAGAACAAAAATAGCGCCAAGAACTCCAGCAACAATCCATCCAGTAGAAGACCCTGAAACAGAAACAAGAACATTACCATTAACCCTGAGAGTGTAACTGTACATCATCTCCATCAGACTGGACATCACAGTCTCCACAAAGAGAACAGCTGAAGGTGTGGATGCTCCTGAAATGGAAACTCTAAAGCTGTTAGCAGATAAAAACAGCAGTGGGATGAATGTCAGCAGGAACAGTGATGTCAGCATTGATCTTATGGACAGTTTCCTCCTGCTTGGCTGCACAGCTCACAGGTTGCTTCTGGTTTTGCTCTCAGTAGTGAGGAGGGTGATGTTGGAGCATCGTCCTCTTTCTGACACGTGTTGCTCATCAGGAGGAAGAATGTTTGAATCACTGTCCTGCCTCCTCCACTTCAGCCTGTTTACATCTGACTGCTGCTACACGGCTTCTCTACACCCTGAGCTCAGGCTCACAGGTACAAGTCAGTCATGGACTCTGGATTAACTCTTTGTTTTATCATACTTGTTGTTAGAGCTAATAAAGCTTTGTTCAAAGAAAATATGACACATCCAGCTGAACATGCAGCTGAGCTACGTTTATGTTTCACTGAGCAGGAAAAGTACAATTTACCTGAGTGTTTCCATTTTATCACACTTTATATAGTAACTAGTTACTTTGATCTCACACACAAAACATGTGATCGACTTCATAAAACACTTGTTTAACATGTGATGTATATTGAGTGAGAGTTAAACTGTGTGCTGATGTTTGTTGATTCATGTTTTCATCATCACAGTTTGACAAGTGGAGCTTGAACACTAGAAGTCATTTGACACCAGTGTCATGTCAGATCATTCTCTATTAGCTCTTCTACTCACTCTGAGCAGCTCACATATTGTGTTTTCTGTAGAGAACAATCAGCTCCTCCACAGTTACATGGACTAGTTAGTATGTGCTCATATTTCTAACAACAACAATCAGAAAGCTTTTCATTCCCAAAGTATTATGGGAATTAGAGCAGACAACAGTACAGGCCTTGTTTAGTTCATGTTGTGCTCTCAACTGTAAAGTAGAAACAGACTGTAGAGAAAAGGAGGTGAGAATCAGAGCTGACCTTCAGTCTGTGCATGACACTGAAGAAGGGAAGGAAATTACATTTGGCTTCTTTTATGCTGTCATATGGAATAGTTTGTGTTTTGATACTATGAGTGTGACGCTGCACAACACTTGTCAATGTTCATCATGTGTGTCCTCAAATCTTTCCTCTGAAACATGTTTACAGACAGTAAATGTAACACTGTGAATGTGACTGCACATCATGTACAGCACATATAGTATTAGTGTAGAATCACAGCTGGAGATCATCGTCACAATGATTCATGATGTTCATGCTCCTAAAAGGTGAATTCACACTCAACACAAAGTTCACTTTTGTCTCCATTTCATCTGTGAATCTGACTGTTGGACTGTTTTTACACTTTGTGTTTATTCAGCACTAAAATACTGACGACACAGACGTTAGCTACAGCTGGCTGACAACGTTCACACTGACTGTGTGTTTGTAACAGTTCATACTGAACTCAGATGCATAAAACTCTGTGTGGATTCACAATGAAAACTGTGTGAACACATAAAGGCAGATATCATACACATTCTTCATGTCAGATTTATAAAGCTGTGCGCAGACCTGATTCTGCATGTGCATGAACCTCATTTCCACCTCCACAGTTTGCCATAAATGGATGTAGAAACACCCTTAAACATTTGTTTGCATAGCAATACTTCTCTTCCACCTCTCATTCGACCCATCAATAAGAAATACGATAAAGAGGTGCAGTTACACTGACTGTGTTGCATCAGTGAGGTTTTCCACGGTGCCAGAGCAGCCTGCATTACACACAGCTGTGGATATTTATAGTGTCTGCATCATTAACTTCATCACACTTCTGCAAAACATCACCACAATATAATCTCGATCATCATTATGATTAAACATCAGAAGGATGATCAATGATTCATTCATAGAGCTCATGTTGAAACTGACTTTACAAAATGCTCCAGAGCATCAAATTAAATGATCACTGACAGGGAGATGAATGGAAATAAAAATGATAATGAGTTCATCGCTCATAAATAATTAAAGCTTAAATGTATAAATGCGCCTTTGATTGACATTTTCCTGAATGCTGTGTGAGCTGCAAAAATAGCCTGATAATATAATCAATGAATTTGTTAAACAGCCTTAAAAACAATGTTCTCAATGTCTCAACATAAAGTTAACCTCTTTATCATTTCACATATTTTACAGATATCTCAGCTAAAAGTGTCCGTACGTCTGGTCTGAACAATACATGAGGTGACACAATCTCACGCCACATTCTTCCTTTATAAATACCAGTTTGTGTGTGGGAAAAGACGCACACATGGTATTTGTGCATACACACATAGTTTACACATCTGACCCCAGTTCTTCCTGTTATTTCCCTCCAGACTCTCTCATTCTTCTCGTCTCATATCTTCATCAGAATTACCTTTGTGTTCAGTTTGAACACGTGTTAAAACATGAACAGTTCAAATTATTTGAATATAAAAACATGAGGGAGAATCTTACCCCCAATATACACATGAATCTTTGCCTCAGTCTGATGGTTGATTTCCTCCTGTGTGACCACACAGTGATAGTAGTCAGTCTTGGTCACAGTAGTTTGGAGGATGATGTCATAGCTGCCTNCACATATAGTATTAGTGTAGAATCACAGCTGGAGATCATCGTCACAATGATTCATGATGTTCATGCTCCTAAAAGGTGAATTCACACTCAACACAGAGTTCAGTTTTGTCTCCATTTCATCTGTGAATCTGTCTGTTGGACTGTTTTTACACTTTGTGTTTATTCAGCACTAAATACTGACGACACAGATGTTAGCTACAGCTGGCTGACAACGTTCACACTGACTGTGTGTATGTAACAGTTCATACTGAAGTAGAAATGTATTACAGACTCCAGTTCTTTCTGTTATTTCCCTCCAGACTCTGATTCTTCATCTGATCTCTGTAGATTCATGAAGTGGAGTCTCAGTGAAGTTTTCACTCAATTTAAAATATTTCCAACTTGTACAGATGTCCTTATCAAGATCTCCATTGTGTACAGTCTGAACACATTTTTGAAAGAATGAACATGCTGGCAAATGATAAAATTATTTGAATATGAAAATATAATTACAAGAATCTCACCATTGACAGACACATAAATCTTTGCTTCAGTCTGATGGTTGATTTCCTCCTGTGTGACCACACACTGGTAGCGGTCAGTCTTGGTCACAGTAGTTTGGAGGATGATGTCATAGCTGCCTCCTCTGTCTGTGACCTGTGGTTCATCAGCAGGAAGTTTGTTTCCAGAAGTGTCCTTCCACTCTACTTTAGGTTTTGGAGAAGCACCTCGAACAACACACTGCAGCAACATCCCATCATCTGTTTCATCCAGTATCGTGACAGATGGCTCTGAAGCTGCACCTATGAACACAGAGAATAAGTGACACTTGCTGTGTTCATCCTTTCTCTGCTTGTGAATGGGGATTACAGTGTGAATAAGAGGAAGAAACAAAAAGAAACAGAAGGAAAAAGAAAATGAAATAAGCCTCAGTTTCACATCACAGCATTATTTCACAGGGTCTCATATTTCAAACACTTTTAACTTCTACCAAAAGTTTGGAAACTATTTACAACTGCAAACATCATGTCTGACTCACATCATAATAGAAGCACATATACAGTGAAGACATTTGGACTAGAGCTTAGATGTGTGTGTATGAGCGAGCTGGAGGAGAGAGCAGGAGTGCACAGATGGAGTTACAGCTAAGTTGTTGTTTGTTGGTTGTTTTGGCGTGGTTACTGCCAACAGTAACCTGTACTGTTCAGTAATAAACGGTGGTTTAATTGCCGAATAACTGTGTCATCCTTTCCACACGTCCTGGCGGACGCTACAGTATTATAAAAAATAAAATTAAACCACACTTTGTATGACACATAAAGTTACAACAAAATTAGTTACAACGTTGCAACATTGTGCGCGCACAGCCATTCATCACCTGGATCCTAAAATAAACACCTGTTTTATTACATAATCATGCTTCCGTGTTGTGCCATTCATTAAGATCCTATGTTTCTGTCATTCAAATAACAAGACTTGTGGTTTAATACTCTTAATTATAACAGCCAACTTATTGAAAAATGTCGGGTTTAAATCGGGCTCGGGCTCATAATTACAGTCAACTGGACGGGCTGGGCTGGTCCCGGACATAACATGCACGGGCTCGGGCTGGGTCAGGCTGGATTTTTTGGGCCCGATCTAAGCTCTAATTTGGACAACTCTTAAATTTTTACGCCACATATGTTGTGTTAAATAAATTAAGTTAAAATGAAATAACACAAAATTTGTTTTCTGAGATGCAGAAAATATTTTCTGACACTAAAGCAATATAAAAATGTGTTATTGAATTGATTTGATTAGATCTGGCTTGAATGTCAGAAAATATCTGAAATCTGTCTTTCGTCCCTGTTTCACATTAATACAAATACACTAAAAAACATTAACCCTCACCACAAACTCTACAAACACATCAGACGTTACAAAAAGCAGATGCAGTTCAACATATGAATCGTTCCTTATTACATTCAGTGACTGACTCAGGTACACTGAGACTACTTAGAAGTCCTACTGTGATTTAATAAGTTGACAGACTGAGGAACAAATGAGTTCATCAACCTGTTCAGTGGAGCCTGTGGGACTCTAAATCTCCTGTGTGATGGCAAAATGTAATTCTTCAAATAACATGTGAGAGGGGTCGGACGTGATATTATGAGCCAGAGACAAAATTCTTTGAGTAAACGTAGCTTGAAAACTTGACTCAAGTGTTTGACCCACAATCTTTGAGCAGATACGCAGCAGTCTAGCTTTAAGATGAACAGAGAGACGACCAGGGGCCCAGCTTTCTCTGAGGCCCTGTGACTCAGTCATGTTAAAACTCACAGCCATTCATTCAGCAGATATTTCCATATGTTATACATAATGTGTCACTTGTTGAGCCAAGCAAACCTATAAGTCTAATAAAACACACAGTAAAGCCTCTTTGTCACACAAACTTGATGTGAAGAACAAATAAAGAAAACAGGTTGAAGTCAAGTTCAAATGTTTCAGCACCAAGGACAGCGCCGTGATGATGTCACAGCCACATCTGTGGTGTTACTGCAACGCCACATAGAGCCACAAGGTGGTGTCTTCTTTCTGTTGTGTTGAGACTGTACCATTCACTGACTCCACACTGCATCACACTCTGTATTATAGATTATATCATCAGTAACAGCATCTGTTTGTTTGATCCAAATCACCTCAGTCTGCTAAACAAGTAAATCCATTCTTGTAGCTCACTACAAATATGATCTATATGTCAACTCCAGGATAAAGCAGCGTCCACATAGATGCCCAAATATTTACAGGAGGAAACGTGTTCAGTCTGTGTATTATGGACAGTAACTGGTGGAAGATACCAGTTCACTGGAAGACCAGAAATTACTTCTTGTGTCTTCTTTGGATTAATAATAAAATATAAAACAGATTTAAAAGCATGTTCACCTGTTGTGTTATCAGAGCTTCAACTGTGTCAGTGATACAGACACTCAGTGGTCACTTTATTAGGTACACCTGTTAAATCACAGGTCTCCACCGCACCTGCATCACTGCATAGACCACTGGTTCACAACCTGGGGTCGACAAAGCTTCACAGGAGCCTTCTTGATTTTAAGGGGTGTAAAAATATTCCTTTAACAACTATACAGCCCTATATCTCAGCATTTCAATTATTTCTGTGAAGAAAACTAAATTAAATTGTTATTTTTATAGTTAAGATTATTATTAAAGGTATAAGCTTCAAAAATAAAACTCTCCCAGGATCAGGGCACGGTGAACACCTGAACTAAAGCTTAATTCATAGAGTCCTCACTCTCTGATAAAAAGCCACGCTCAGCAGTTAAAACAACCAAAGAGTTAATAAAACAACGGCCAAGCGTCAGAGAGAAGAAAACACTGACCTGTCAACAAAGAAGTCTGTTAAAAAATACATCACACAGACAGAGAATTGTGTCAAAAGTTCCTAAAAACATCAGTAAAACTCATCGCTGACGCAGAATTCACAGGAAATATTCTGCTCAGAATTCATCCAAATCACTGGTTTTACACAAACTTCCTGCAGTTATTGTGTTCACTGTTTGGGTTCTGTACTGTTATTGTTATGTGATGAATATAATATGAAATATCCATAAAACAGCTCACTTAGTCAGGGGTCGTCAGTTTACTCAGGGATAGAAAAGTGGTTCCCTGAAGGAAAAAGCTTGGGAACCACTGACACAGACTGTCACTCCTGACTAAACCACTCCCCCCAAGATTATATAACTCCGCCCTTCAGACCTGTGACTCTCTTTTCCCTCCAAACCACTGGTTCCCAACTGGTTCAGCCACTGGGTCCAGATTTCTCTGTAGTCATTAGTTCAAGGTCCACACAGTTTAATATATTCAGTGTCATACTTGTGTTTGGACGTGTTGTCAAGCTAGTTTTCTGTCTCTGTCAAGTAGCTGTCTGTTATTCACTCACTCAAGTCACTTGCGGTCCATTCAGAATGGACCTGTGACCCACTTTTGGACCAGGACCCACCAGTTGGGAACCACTGCTCCAAACCATGCCAGGCAGGACAAAGAGAGAACTGATGTGTATGGCTGTACCCGACTCAGAGTGATGTCAGCCGCATCAGATCTGGCTGTTTTTCTTCCAAATATAAAGTTGTAAAGGTTGAACGGGGCTCAGCGGGACGTTCAGTGTGACAGCAGCATTCATGTAATATAGTAAACAAGCTAACGACAGATCTGAAATGTGCAACAACATTTTACGCCGACACCAGATATCAAACAAAAGCCAGAGACTGTGTCGTATAAAATATCTGTGAGCTGTAAATTCACCACTTCTAAGCAGAAGACAAAAGATGATGTCATCTCAGAGTCTAAAGGCCTTTGTTCACTGAGTCCGAAACTTTCATCCATCATCAAAATTTTCGTAACAGGTTTGATTTCCTGTGTTTTCCTCATCCGTCAGAGTCTTTAGAGACGTTTGACCAAGAATCAGTGAAGAAAATGTGGCGGCGGGACACAGCCGCGATGAGACAGAGGAACACACAGAATCATCTCATAACTCAGACAGCTACTTTCAACAGGTCAGATAGTGATATTCAGGTGGATGATGATGAAGAGGAGGAGGATGAGGGCCGCACACAGAATGTGGAGGACAGCTCCGCCCCTTCATGCAGCTGCGGTGCCAAATGACAGACAGGAAGTGATGTCAGTCAGGTAGGTAACTCCAGTGGAGAGAGGCAAAGGAGGAAATGTGTCTTTGAACACAACAATAAAACTCATCAGACTCAGTGTGCAAAGGCCTTTATGGTGGAAAGTGTCTCCTCCTCTGTGACGCTGCATCGTGTCCACAGCTGTCTGTACCAAAGAGTAGAGTGAAAGTCAAGAGCGCTCACTCTGCAGCAAAATCCAGGGACCAAAACATCACCAGAAGTTCACTGCACAGCACAGTGACTAGAAAACACAACAAGTGCTGGACTTGAAGCAGTCTCAGTCGACTGAGGTGTTTCTGACTCATGATTCAAATCTCCATCTTTCAGGGGGCGGCCCTACTGATGTGAGTGTTATATGGACGCTTTCACCTTTATAATGTTTCACTCTGTTGATCCTGCATGTGTTATTATTATCTGACAGTTAACAGACTGTTCTGTGTTTATTGTGCTCAGATTCCTGAGTTCAAGTGTTTGTGAAGAAGAAAAAAGAGGATGCATTAATGATGTAAGCTGAATGATAACCTAATTTACTACTATTATTATTTTGTTTTAATACTATGCAGGTCTGTAATATTTGCTTTAAATATTCCTTCCTATAGAAAACATCATCTGACAGCCACCTCTGAACTGTTCACTCCCCACGCCTACAGTAAAGTGTTGAACCAGCTCCCTGGATCCTGTGTTTAAATGTTCACCCCAACATCAGATGTTCTGTGAGCCAACACCAGCACAACTATACAGCTGTTTCAACACCTGCACAATCTAATGCAATCCAACACAACTGTTCTACCATTAAGTTTACTCTGATGATGCCTGTAAAGGTTTTTACACTGTCACAGAGACGGAGCACATTTAAGTCCCGACCCACCGGAGGGGAAAACAATTCATCTCTCTCCATTGACTCTGTATTGTGTGAAGGTTCCTCCTTGTCATTTACGTCTGCTAACAAACAACAGAAAAATGCCTTAAAGCTGCTGTGTGGTCACACGCACTACCAACATGGTGAAGAATCCAGAACTACGTTTTTACAAGCTGCTGAACCAAAAAACTGAGGTTTAAGCAATAAGATGTGACATCAGCAGGAAGATGTGAGAAACCTGTGAGATCCTGACACTCAGTGTGACGACATGCAGCAAACATTTTGTTCATGTGACCAGACAAACTGTGTATCAGTGGCTCCTGATCTGTTCCTTAAGGGACCCCTTTTCTGTCAGTGAGTCAACTGAAGTCCCCTGACTGACTAAGTGACATATTGTCATGGATATTTCATATATTTGATGCGTAACAATAACAGTACACAACAACTGATAAACTGGACAATTAACCCAAATAGTGAAACACAATAACTGCAGCAGTTTGTGTCAAACCACTGATTTGGATGAATGTTGAACAAATTATTTCTGGAGTCCGATGATCCCAACAGAGCTAAAAACCAAAGAAGTCAAAAGTTGAGGTGATGTGATAACGAAGCAAAACTCTATCTGCTAAAGAAGATGATGTGTTATGATGAGAAGCTCCACAACAGCCTCTAAACCAGAGGTGTCACAGTCATGTTAGCACACGGGCCACACACAGTCTGATCTGATCACAGGTGGGCCGCACCAGTAAAACCACTGCATAATATCCTATAAATAACAAACACCTCCAAACTTTTCCCCTTTTGTTTGCTCAAAGAAGAACATTTTAAAAACACTAATCCATTTACAAACACATGACAAACAGCCTGTGATGTCTCCACAAGACTAAATGGAACAACAATATTTCTCAGTGTTTCCACACACGACGACTCACTGTCACTTCATGTGCATTTTTCTACACATTTCCACTCCTGTGTCGTAATCCTGACGTCACCACACCAAACTAAAGTGAAAGTAAAGACCTGTATTCTGGTCGAGGGTGAAAAAGCCTCCTCAGCAGCATTTTACATGAAGAAAGCTGCTCAGTGTTTAACTTGCTCCTGAAACCTGGCACCTCTCAGCCTTCACAGGTGCATCACTATTAGGTGTGTGAGGTCATCCAGTGGGCCGGATTGGACCCTTTGGTGGGCCGGTTCTGGCCCCCGGGCCGTATGTTTGACACCCCTGCTCTAAACACACCTTCAGGTGAGGTTGTTTTGAAAACTGATATTTCTATGGATGAACTAACTCACAGGCTGACGTGGGCGAGACGTCCTTAAACCTACATTAACTGATGTTTTTGGCCACTTGGGGGCAGCAGAGACAAGCTGAGAACACAACATTGAAACATCATCATCTTTTAAGTTGGTCAACTTATTAGTAAACAGTTGCTTATTTATTTTATACGTTATCATTCATTAGGAGTCATGTTTTTATCCACCTGATGAATGTGAGGAAATATTTACTCTTCTTTTAGCTCTGTTTCTGACTGATGATGATGATGATGATGATGATGATGGAAATACGTGTCTCTTCAGCTGCTCAATGCTCCACCATGTTCACCAGCTAGTCGCCAACGTTTCCCGTTGACTGTGTTGTGCTGGGCAGGTCCTGTAGTGTACAGTGGGTTTATCAGAGCGTTACTGATGAAAGCAGCTGCCGACTGCTGGAAACAACACTGACAGGAGCCCTGAGAGTGAACCAAAACAGTGAGCTCAGAGACACTCTGACGCTCTGGAGAGCTGAGGTCAACTGCAGAGTCAGGTGATGATCCTCTGTGGGGTCGTCACTAGGAGCGACTACTGTCACAAACAAACAGCCTTGTGATCCATCCTTTATGTTACTGCAATGTTCAATTATAATAATAATGTGAATTTTGCCTCAGAGACGAGTTTTCCTCATATTTTTAGTCAGTTTCTTTAATTGTTAACAATCATACACACACACAGACCTGTCTTTATTTTAACTCAGTGTTTTCTTTTCCCTGGTGTTTGGCCATTGTTCTATTAGCTCTAACAAAGAGTGAAGACTCTGTGAATATAATTTGTGTTCAGGTCTTCACCGTGCCCTGATCCTGTCAGATTGTTTTAAGTTCATATCTTAAATAATGTAAACTTAAAAATAAAGAAACGTGGCGATATCTTTGGTCGTGACTCTAAAACGATGGTCCTATGTCACACAGTGAGACAGGTTCAAGGATGGCTGATGTCACAGTCTTGTGATCAAAGACAGCCTGGGATAAAATTCTTACAGTGTCAGAAATTTGGGATGACCATCTCACTGTGTGACTGCTGTTACCACCTACGTCTACTAACCGACCAATAGAAATGCAGCATGAAATGACGCACTGATCAGCGCTAAACCCAAATAAACAGACAGACAGCAGCTCGCCATGGAGGCAAAACACACTAAAAGAAATGTGTGTGATTTCAGCAAAGAGGAAAACCTTGTGGAGTTGTGGCAGCAGAAGTCTTGCCTGTATGATGTGTCCTCCAGCTCTGACCATGATCGCGTACAGAAGGTGAGACACCGAGCAGCTAGCAAACACACACACACACTGCAGTATATATTGCCCATTAAACTTTAAGTTATTTAATAATGTGAGCCTCTATGTTGAGCTTCACAGGTGGAGAAGTAATAACCTGTGCAGCATCACTCACTATGTGAAGCTGTTGCATCGTACGTCGTAGCCTGTGATTCAGTCGGCGCTGTCATCGTACAGTCTGCAGACATCAAACCTGATGTTGTACCCAAGTTTATCAGATACATGTCGCACAGTGAAGCTGCACTAAACTTATAAGATGCTAAAATCTCACAGTCTGTGGGAGGCTTTACACCTCTTCAAATCAAGAAGGTGTCACGACCCCCTGTGAAGCTTTGGTGACCCCTAATGGGGGTCGGGACCCTCTGGATGGGAACCAGTGATGTAGAGGTTGAAGCTAACTAAGCTATGTAACACCTGGTTTTAGTCTTTGCTCAGTTAAATGATGATCTCACCTGGTGATTGGATCAAACAGTTGTAAATATCAAAGTATGTCACTGCTGGTCGTTCAGTGGGATCATTTCTCCAAGATAAGGAAGGTGAGGAGAAGACGACACTGAGACAGAGCGACAGGATTCAGTCTGTTAGACTAACTTTTCCTCTCTGGTGGACACAAGGTGATAAAATAATCCTCTGACATGCTGATATCTGGTGTTTTTAGATTCTCTCTAGACGCTCCAGACTCTCATTCATTCTCTTATTTCTGTTGATTATTGACAAGGAGTCTCAGAGTGTTAGTATAACATTCTGATTCAGTTTCAAACATTTTCAGCATGTGTAGATGTCTTCATCACAATTTCCTTTGTGTTCAGTCTAAACACAAATTAACTTTTCTTTAAACTAAGCACATCAACATCTGAAATATACATAATATGACTAGGCAAAATCTCACCACTGAGAGGCACAAACGTCTTCGCCTCAGTCTGATGGTTGATTTCCTCCTGTGTGACCACACAGTGATAGTAGTCAGTCTTGGTCACAGTAGTTTGGAGGATGATGTCATAGCTGCCTCCTCTGTCTGTGACCTGTGGTTCTTCAGCAGGAAGTTTGTTTCCAGAACTGTCCTTCCACTCTACTTTAGGTTTTGGAGAAGCATGTCTAACAACACACTGTAACAGCACCCCATCTTCTGTCTGATGAAGTATTGAGACAGACGGCTCTGGAGCTGCACCTGTGAACACAGAGAATAAGTGAAAAATCACTTGTTGTGTTCATCATTTCTCTGCTTTTAAATTAGGATTACAGCATGTTAAGAAGAATAAAAATATGAGGAACAGAAAGAAACAAAAAGACAAAATAAGCCTGAGTTATTATTATTTCTGACTCTACATGAAGCACACATACAGTGAAAATGTTCAATATTCAAATGTTTTATCCCACATGTGTGGGATTTTCAAAATGATAATACAGTTGAATTGACTTCTCTAAAACAGTTTCAACACAAACTGAACATTTTAACCTTCATTAAGGAAAAATTATTACAGGACTGGTGAATTGCATTGGTTTTATATAGGAACACCTTCGGAAAATGTTTATCTGGATTGTAATTTAGGGGTCTTGAGACATAAACCTTATTCCAATGACGATGGATAATTAAAGCCAAAGATACAATGATCATTAAACTCAGGGTTCGACATAAGCAATGGCCCGATGGCCCGGGGATCAAAAAATCAAACCAAAGGCACGCACATCTCACCGTGGGAGGGCAGGTGCTGAGTCGATAGTCGTAGATGAAAAAAGGATGAAAGACTCGCAACACTGCGGGACTCTTTGCAGAAAAAAATAGCCTATTTATTGCACCGTGACGAAGAGCATACAGCTCGAAACGTACGTCACGGTGCAATAAATATTTTTTTTCTGCAAAGAGTCCTGCAGTGTTGCGAATCAAAAAGTAGCCTATGTCGGGCAAGTTGACTGACAGGTCACAGGCCCGCTCGGGACAGTGACGCTGTAAGGTTTTTTTTTTTTTGGCAGGGGAACAACTCAACTTTTATCCCACTTTTCTCGAGCCTTCAGTGGATTTATTGGGCTTTTTGGCCAAAGGTGCCCTCACCTTTGTGCAGTGAAACACCGGAGGAGGGGGAGACTTGCCGGTGCGCTTGTGCGTCTCCGCCAACGCGGACACCGCACACCACTGCAGGTATATTTCTCTCCAGCGTGCGTTCACTGGCCAATAAACTGGATGAACTTCAGCTACTGATGGTGAAAATGGAGACTTTTCTACATCTGCAGTTTTGTGCTTCACGGAGACATGGCTGTGTGGATCAATACCGGACTCTGCGCTGCAGCTGGCAGGTTTCCAACTCTTTAGAGCGGATCATAACACGGAACTCTCCGGTAAAACTAAAGGTGGAGGTATCTGTTTTTATACTAAGTGGCTGATGTAATGACGTGAACTACTCTAGTGTACCCAGTGGGGGAAAAAAACACTAAAAAAAACAACAACACCTGAACACTGATAAACTACACTGATTTTGATAGTAACTTTAAGTAACGAGTGTCCCTCGTTAAGTCTTTAGATTATACTTAAATTAGCAGAAACAAAACAAAAAATGTCAGTGTATTATAAACGTCCTCATTTAATGATGTGTAATCAGTGTAACACCTTGAAAGAATGACCTCAGTCAACTCAACACAGATTTAAAGTTGTTTCAGTGATACTCAGACCTGTGGAGCAAATTACAGCCTTTTTGTGTTGAAATTACAAATGTGGATGTTAAAATCAATTTCGTTTTTAAAATCAGGACTCACCTTGGATGTTTTCCCCTGTTCTGTCTTTTAATGTTATGAAGTGCGGAGGTTGCACGCGACCCTAAATTTATATGTAAAAATAATAAATATATACACTTAATGTTTTCATATTGACGGCAGAAGTCATTACAGACATATTACACCTCATATGAAACCTTAAATCTTCCTTTTTCCAACGGATGTAAGAATCTGATTACAGGATTTACGACATCAGAACAGTGACGTCTTACTTTACGGCAGTAAACAGTTAGCAGCTTAGCTGTTATCCTGTCTAGCCGCAGTTAAAATGTATTTATAGGTATAAAAACAGACATTTATAGACAAACAGGAGCTCGTTTTAAACAACAAAATCACACCGATTCAATTTACCTCGTTTACGTTCAACCGGAAGTAAAAATAACGTGAATAAAAGTCGATTGTGTCCCTCGTTTAGTTTTAGCGCCGCTCGTCAAACTTCCAAAACAACGTATTTTCAGTCCATTTAAAGTATTGACAAAAGATTTGACCAATCATGTTCAGTCTCTCTGAAATCAGGAAACGCCCCGAAAACACATAAACCAATCAGCATCTTTCTACGACATAAAGGGACG